AAAAATGTATCATCATAATATATTGTGTATGATACATGTAATAAATGGATTAACAATTGAGACGAATCAGATACGTTTTGAATATCGAGTGTGTGTATCACAGATTTGTATAATGTATCAAGTTATTATTGTGTATATTGTACATATAAATAGTGTAACAATTAAGATATGTAAATTAGTTGTTTTGATCAAGGCAAATGTGGATGATACATTAGTATATATCAATCTTAGATTTTTGTGAATGGTTGTATCATTGATAATTTTAATGTACCTAGTAAATGTTATAAGATGGTTACAAAATTGTGTCGATATGTGTTAGTTTGTTGTTAGATAGGTGTTGGCTTTGAAAATTGAAAAGAATGTATTTCATATAATGTATCACTGAATTTTTTAATATTTGCAGATTGTTCCATGTCGTATGAGTTTCTATGTATCAAGCTTATTATGGGTAATATGTACATATACATTGCATTCTAAGTTGAATAACACTAAACAAATGTTAAAGAGTGTAGATACATAGCACACAACTGATTTGTTTTGTCTATATAGCCTTTTAAATTTGAATAAGATTGATGATACGTTGAAAAACTTGATACATGCAAATGATACATTAGGAAGTGTTTATGTATCAAGTATATTTATATTGAACACGATAAAACTAATTGAAGATCCAACAACATTAGAGTTATGTATCAATACCTTAAATATGAATATGATACGTTGTATAAAACAAGGATGAACGGAGAATCATATGTATCACGAAAAAAGGGTAAAAACAAAAAAAAATTAGAAAAAAACAAACAATGGAGAATATGAAAATTACCTAATTCAGTGGTTTAAAGTTTGATTGATTAGAGAGATAATCCTTTTTGAAATTCAAATTGAGATGAAAGTTGTAACTAATAAGATTGTTGGAGTGAAATTAGGAGAGATTAAGGAGTAGAAAAAGGAATGGAAAATGTGGAGTTAAGGCTAAAATACTTATGTATCTGGATGACTTAAGAATTGAGTGAAAATAAGGGATTTTGGAAATATTTTAAAATGGTAGGGAATAATGGAAATTATGAAAAATAAAGGTGTGTATATAAATAATTAATCCTAAATTTATAGCAATCATGATTTATGTTAGCAGTTATTGAAATCATTAAGAAGTGAATAAAGTTTTGCGATTGACGAAAATCTTTACGAAATGAATGAACTCTTTTCATCCATAGTGTAAAAGTTCTTCTAATAAATAAAAGGGAAAAGGGTCTGAAAAATATCCCAACTTTGACCGAATTTGCTATTACGATACCAAACTTTCATGAGGACCTATTATCCCCTAGACTATTTAATACTGTATTCTTTACCCCTGAACTATTTAATAGTGTATTTTAAAGGTATATATGTGCTTAAGTGGACACATTACTATTTATAATTATACAATATTTTTTATGTCCACGTGGGCACATATATATGTTTAAAATACGCTATTAAATAGTCTAGGGGATAATAGATCCTCATGAAAGTTTGGTATCATAACAACAAATTCGATCAAAGTTAAGATATTTTTCAGACCATTATCCCTAAATAAAAAGGTAACTTTAATTTTAGTTCTTTCTAGATTTTTAGTATACGTTTTGCACCATCCATAATGTTACTATTTTGAATTCTCCCTTGACTAAGGTTCATTATATTCTTTTTACTATATATAAGACGCCACAAAAATAGTTGTTGGATGACACGTCAACGTTTTAGTCAAGGGTATTTCTGATATTTTATTTTGTTTTAGTCTATTATATATATAAATATGTAATATAAACATATGAAAAATTTGGCCGACTTTCAAAATTTCACTTATACCACATAAATTGGAATAAAAGAAGTAACATATACTACTATGTAAGAATTGCATAAAAAGTGATATAAGTCACAATAATTAACAACCTAAAATATCTATAAAAAAAATAAAAATTTTGGTTGTCTTTCGATATAGAATACACATAAATAATCCTCTGACCTAATAACAATTCTTTAATTATTATTTTTCTCAAAACAATACTTATTTATCATTCACTACAAAAATGATTCTTGTATTTAGTGTCGAAGTTATAATGTTAGGTACAAATTCAAATGACCTTAATAATTTTTTCTTAAATATTATATTTATATTAAAAAATCTATCAAATACTTTAATTTTGAACTCAATAACTAAAATAAATTACATATTGATAAATTTAAAACTTATAAACTTTAAATCATACCTCTGTATCTGCTTACGTTAAGATCCCCACATATCTTATGTCTAATTTAAATTAGCCTTTTAACTCTACACCATTCACAAAACAAGATCTAAGTATCCAACTAATAAATTAGTGTCATAAGAATATCATTCTAATAAGATAGGAAATACCATGAACATATACATTAAGAATATTCTTTACAATAAGATGAGATTAAATTATGACACAAATGAAAGAACTAGAAATTGCTGCAAAGTTTAATTTTATTCTTTTCAAATTACAAAAAAAAAAAATTGATGTGTTTGGTCAGGAGGAAATATCTAATAAATTTTTGAAAAATATATTTTTTAGAAAAGAAGTATCTTAATCACGAGGAAAATAACTTCACAAGTGAAGTATAAAAAAACAAGTTTTGCAAATGATATTTCACATTAATTGTGTCTTTTCGGTCTCTAACACATCGTACATCTTTACCCCCACCAAGTAACCCCATCTCCACCATCCCACGTCCATCCACACCCACCCTCACTCCACTCTCACCTCTCATAGTATTTATCAAGATTATATAAAATACTTTTAGGATAATATTTTTACTTCGAAAAATGAATTAAAAACTCACTTATTTTTTCTTAAAAAGTATTTTTCAAGAAAACATTTTCCTTCATACCGACATTACCCGGAAAATATTATTATTTTTCCTTTTCTTTTTGTTTCTTCACAAGTTTGAAAAATCATCCATCGTTCCTTTTTGAAGTGCATATTTTATTTTTTATTTTTTACAATTTGCTTTTTTGCCATAGAATCTATACCAATGAGTGGTCACTGAATAATTATTGAAAAAGAAATTATTCATATTTTCTTGCATATATATATTTGCATCCTTTCTTGAAATCTTTCATCAATTTAATATTTTCTCTCTATAAAACTTCTAAATTATCAATTTTTTTATTTAAAAAAAAAACATTTTTATTTCAATCCAAGAAGTGAGTAGAATTAATGGCATCAAGGAGAATTCACAAGGAACTAAGGGAGTTGCAAAGAGACCCTCCTACTTCATGTAGTGCAGGTAAAAAAAATAATGTTATTTTTTATATATATTTTACTATTTGTCGTCCCTCGGAGATTAAAATTATGGTGAAATGATAAATATTCTTACATCCTTAATTATATGTTTTGAGTTTGAACCTTAATATAAAGTCGTCTTTTGATAAAGACATTTAATTTTCAAACTTCAACACGAAATTGAATTAGTAACGCTCCAAAACAGATATATGACAGTTGGCAAAATGGGAAAGGAAAAAAGTTTACTAAGGTATCCTATGGTGAATCCAAGACACCGTCAAGGAGTTTCACTTTTTAGAGAATTCGAAATTTATGCTAACGTCATAACTCATAACAAGATTTTGAATTTTTTCGCGATATTTCCGCATAATTGACTACTAATAATTTTCAAACACGAACTATTTTTCAATAGATTGATTTTCTAGGAACGGACAAGTTTATTAAAGGGTCCATTAGTGAATCCATGACACTATCAAGGAGTTTCACTTGTTGAAATTTAAAGTTCATGATACAACATTATGAATTTCAAAACTCACAATAATATTCTAAAAAATTCACTTGTTTAAGTTCGAAATCCACGATACTATCATAATGTTTTATTTAATTATTTTTTAGGTCCTGTGGCTCAGGATATGTTTCATTGGCAAGCAACCATTATTGGGCCAAATGATAGCCCTTTTGCAGGTGGTGTTTTTCAAGTGGCCATCCATTTCCCCCCTGACTACCCTTTCAAACCCCCCAAGGTATGATTATTTATAAAAAAAATAAAAAAAATATTACACTATGCAATATATATCAAGCGCAACAAATCCCATGATAAAAAAATAATAATACTCATTTTTATTAATTATATATTTAACCAATATAATCTAAGTATACGTTTGTTGTATATAGAGTATACACTGACATTACTTTATTTGTTAGGCAGGTAAAAAAAATCTCAATCAACTGGTTAAAAATGCTAAGATCTTCTTTTTTGAAGTCATAACAAGGCTTTTGTTTCAGGAAAAAAAAAATTATACATACTCAATGTTTATGTCAGATGACTGAAAATATGTCATATATTTGTTTGATAAACTATATATTATCACTTAATTATAATTATATCATTAAGTATTTTCACCTCAATTTAGCATACAATTGCACTAAATTAATATAAATGATATTTTGTGTAAATATTGAATATAAATAAGTATTTATCTCACACACACCTCCAAAGAGGAAAAAGAAATAGGAATAATGGGGAAAATATCAAAGAAATGATTATAACTAACATTGATAATATTGACAGGTGGCTTTCAAGACCAAAGTATTCCATCCAAATATAAATAATAATGGAAATATTTGTTTGGACATTCTTAAAGATCAATGGAGTCCTGCTCTCACCATATCCAAGGTGATTTTTAATCTATAGTTTCATGATTTTTTTTATATGGAACATTTAAAATGTCGAGTTAGTGACTTCTGCGTTTTATATATTTATTAACTTTTTTTTCTTCATATACATATATATAGTTTGAACAAGACGCAATACATTCTGTTGAACTTAGTATATCTAGACAAGAAAGAAAGAAATTTGGAAAATCGAAATCTTTCAATATAATACATATATCATGTTGACATTAAATAAATCATTTCACTTGAACATTATTATAGTATGAAATTCTTCTACCAACTTAATTAATGAGTCGGTCAAGAAAGTTAAACTACGAATTCTCTTTCGGAATCATCAATTTAATCATTGTTCATGATTCAAGATTCTATATCATCATCAATCAATTATCATGATATATTATTATTATTATTATTAGTATTAGTATTATAATACTAATAATAATAGTTATATTTACTTGTATGACTTAAATTTCTCAATTTGTTTTTATTTTATTTAATTTTATGCAGGTTTTGCTATCCATATGTTCACTACTAACAGATCCAAATCCAGATGATCCATTGGTACCAGAAATTGCACATTTGTACAAAACTGATAGGCAAAAGTATGAATCAGTGGCTCGTAATTGGACCCAAAAATATGCTATGAATTGATGGAATTAGTCGAGGTGCTAGAGAGCTGAATCAGACGCCATGTTTTTTTTATATTAAAAAAAACTCATGTTACTTGTTATAGTAACTTATAACCATGATGTCTTCCTCCCAAACCATATAATAAGTGCAGAAAACTAGTATAAAATTAGTGAAATGAGAAATGTGTCACAATTGAAATATATATAACTATGCAAATTTGGGTTAAATAAATGGTCTTTTTTTTTTTTTGCCTTTTCTTACTAAACAATATAAAATGTTGTGAATGAAATTTCTTTTTTCTCATCTGATGTTCAATACCCACACCCACTGCTTTGAATAGGATATCTCAAGTTTTAAATCCCTACTTTTGTATTGCTGACTATCCAAACAAATGCCACAATTTAAGCTAACACATAATGAAATTGTAATGAATTTTAACAACATACCCAGCGTACTCGCCAAAAGTGGAGCTGGAAAGGGTAGAGTGTACGCAAACCTTACATCTACCTCAAGGGCGAGGTAGAGAAATTGTTTCTCATAGACCCTCGACTCAAGACAATTTTAACAATATCACAAAAATGAAAATCAAATGTCGTTAGCCATCATGTTGGTAAACAACATAGAGCTATTGCATTTGACTAGGGTGTCAAAAATGAACTCAGACATAGGTAACCCGCCCAACCTATCCAGAATTTTAAGGGTTGGGCTCAAGATAATTTAAATTGGATTCAACGTCAACCCATTCAAGCCTAACCCATTTTAAGACAATCTTCAATGAAGCCTAATTCAATCTCCAATTTCAATCCGTTTTAAAACTCTTTACTAAGATATGTTCCTATATTAAAGGTATGAATTATTATCTATTTAACATCTTTAGGATTTATCTATTATTTGTTACTTTTTAAAAAAAAATCTTGACCGGAATTTCGAATTGTGATTATTAAAGTTAAATATCACTATGTTTAAATTATTGAGATTAATCGGGTCAAATTGGGCGGGTCAAGAACCAACCCATTTTTTAGCCCATTTAAACCCAACTCATTTGAGCCAGAGTAAACTTGGGTGGGTAAGACCCAACTCGATTTCCATCTCAACCCATTTTAATATCTCCAATTTCAACCCAACCCGCCCATTTGACACCCCTACATTTGACAATGCACCTCCAAGCAAACCTTTAGTCCAGCAAATTACTTATAATCACAAGTTTGATCCAGCAATTTATTCACAATCACAAGTTTGATCTGCACCATATAGCCTCAAATTTACAGAGATTTTAACGCGAGAGCATTGTTACAACAATCAAAATCTAAGTATAACCCATCACAGAGTGGTTAGAATGTACAGATATTTGCAGCTTCTTCCGCTAGCCTGCCGAAAAATGCAGAATCTCGACGAACAGGCAAATAATAAAACTAAAAAGCACTTGTATTGGGGGAAAAATTATCTGCTTCTGTAACATCAAGAATGGCAACTCCTTGCAAGAAAATATGTCATTTTTCAATTAAGACTTTATGGATTCATATTTCTCACCAACTGCACCACCTTTATCCTTCTGGAACTGGATATAGCGCAATGTGCTTGCGAGCAAAGCATCTGCAGCAGGATCGGCTGTTTTATTTTCACTTTGCATTTCAGTTGTTATTAGCTCGATTAGGCTCTGGATGGATGCAACAGTGATCTGTGTGACACCCTTCTCATAGAAATATAAATACCTGACATCATACAAATGATAAAGTGTATCTAACGTCAATGACCTGCAAAACTGAGAATGAATCCGAGGAAAGGAAATAAACAAAGGATGTATAGTGCTGTTTACTTGTTTAGAATTTCTATAAAGAGCAAGACTGATCCACTGCTGCCTCGGGTTGCATTCGACATTTGTTGAGCAGCATTTGCAATCCTTAAGGCTCGTTTTAAACAAAGCAAAACCCTGGATCAATGAAAAAGAAACAACCACGTTAAGAAGAAAAAAACTTGAAATCAAGGAGCAGACTCAAGAGGCAAAACTCAGAGTGGCTCAAAGAAGACCCATAAACACACAAACCACAACTCGTGCAGGTATAAACCAAGCTAATAAATGCTCATAATAAGAGTGGCATGCCAGAAGTAAACTTCATCCCTCCCTGACATAATTACTAACCTCTCTCCATCCTTGATGCTGTCCTGGTCATCAACCCAGAAAAGATGTGAACAAGAGTAGACAGCTTTGCACTGATCAGGCTTCTTCAGGAGTTTTGCGGAGTACTAAAGGATATTAAGAGAAGAGGGAGGAAACGGTTACTATCATAGAATGATGAAGCTGAAATCAGGAACAAGATAATAAGAGGTAGTAGAATAGTTACCCCTGTAGCCTTGTGCGTTAGCGTGTCCCTGTTCTCAACACCAAAGATGTGCATTCTCTGAAGAGTACCTATTATTAATTGTATTGCAGTCACCTGTGCTTTAGAGTCCTATCAAAACATTCAACTACAATTAGACAAAGCAATGCATGAAATGTAAAAAAACAATGCAGATATATTGAAATTCCAGGAAGTCGAGAAAAAAAGATCATAATAAAGTAAAGATAGGATAAGTAAATACTACCGAAATTTCTTCTTCGTATAGTATATAAGCTTGGGTGAAGAATTCGTAGGCAACAGGCTCTAGATCAGAGTCATTGGCAGCCTGAGCAACAAACTACATGTCAGTAAACCCATACTTTTTTAATAAGGTCCACAATCTTACACATGTCTTAAGGATGAACTCATGTACCTCAGCACACTCTAGGTACAACCTTAGTGCTAGTTCAGGTACTGGGACACTTGAGAGAGCCTCAATTATCTGAAACAAGGTGTATGCAATTCATACGTAATACGAATTTCCTCAGCACAATCTTAGGTGTCACAGGATTATTGCAAATAAAGAAAGAGAAGCTAGAGATAAAATAAAAGGATACAAGAGAAGCAAAGCTGATCTTTTATTTTTCTTTTCACCAAAAATTCATAATGGTGGTCGTCTTATCTTCAGAGCTTAAAATGCAATACATCACATACAACCCCATTCAGCTATATTACCTGATTTAAAATCTGAAAAATTTTCTTAGGTATAGCAGATGTTTCTTCCTCTGGAGCATTTTCATCTTGGTTTTGCAGTCGCCTTACCAACTAAAAAAGATGGAAAATCACAACATCAGAAGGTAAAGAAAACAGTCAGTTGTGTACAACAAAGGAAAACTTGCTCAATCTCTCTTTTTTTCAAAAACTGGGAAGGGAAGGTTTCCATTTTCTGTCATTTACTACTTTGAAGTTTGAACAAGCAGTTGCATCGAAAAAAGACCATCTTAAAATAACTCATCACTTGATTCATATCTTTCGAAGAAGACACAGCATGAGGCGTTTAACGCACCACCCATCTTGTAGTCATTGAGTTGTGAATTCTAACCTTAAGAGAATTAAAAATGAGGGGAGGGACTGTAAAGGGAAGCCTCTTTGGTCCTCCTGTCACAATATGCTTCTTCACAGTGCAAATTATCTGCAAATCAAAGAATTGGTAAACCATATCAAATCTGAAAAGCAAGGTACCAACACCTATAGCATGAGATATAAATATTATAGCCACATAGACATATAATATTGGATTGACACATTTTACTTTGCACAAACAAACATATAAATGAATGATAAGAACATCACACTCAGCTACTTGCTAGATGAATGAAATTTTCATTTATGGATTTACTACAACATACCCCAGTGTAACCCCACAAGTGGGGTCATCAATATCAATCATCATTGGTCATGTTTTTCCATTTAAATTCAATTTCAGGCCAACATTATACACAGTAAAAGCACTACAAAATCTCCATGACATAGGGCTACAAGATTCCCTAGAAAGCATAACACCTGAAATAAACGTACTAACATTATTAAAACATATTCCTAACTACCTACATAAATCTTTTTCTTCCCTTATGTCCTATCTTTCGTTAAGTTTGCATGGATTCCAAGAAATTGAAAGTCTTGAGTTTCGAGACAACTTTTTCGATGTGATTTTAAGAGTACCTCATCCTCTTTTAACACCTGCACTCACCATGGTCTCACACCAAAAAATTGATGCATCCGGAGGTTAACGGAATATATGACTAAACCATCTCAAGCAACCTTCTATCATGAAGTACTTACACCTTTTGTCGAATATCATCATCTTTTATCTGTCAAATCTTTCATGACCACACATCCATCATCTTTGCATCTGCATCTCTGTGACACTTGTCTTGTGGAAACGTTGAACTTTAGTGGCCAAATATTCACTCGCATATAACATTGATGATCACCCCCATATAACATTGATGGTCTTATAACTAATCTATTGAACGTAATTATCAGAACAAAAAATGCCTAGGCCTCTTCGTGGTACTAATCAAAACAAAAAAATATTCTAGATATCTCTCATTAATCAGATAATAATTGTTGAGGTAACTGACCAAAGAGGAAATGAAATTGAGTACATGCTCCATAAAAGTATGACAAAATTGACTTCATAAACTTGACCAAATTCAAACCCAAAATATAAGTTATACACGATACAACACACTTTTCCAGCAATAAGAAGTAGAGAGGTGATTTGTGGAAGGGATATGCAGAAAATCCAGAAAGAGGTATCAATCGTTACCTTCAGCATCTCCTCAGGGTCGTCATTGTGAAGCATTTGAATAAGCCGTGAAACAGAGTTCTGCTCTTCCTTGAAATCTTCTTCGTCAAACTTAAATGGAGGACAAAGAAACTTAGGTCTAATGATTTGAGCAAATAAAATTACAAAAAACTAGCCGCTAAGAACACGGTGGAAAGTGGGTCGAAAGATATGAGGTAGCTATTTAGAGAAGCAGAGAAGTCTCTGATCACCTCATCATGAAGATTCTCATCCAAATCTCTGATAAGTCCTTTCATTAATTCAAAAAGAGACTCAACCTGCCAGACCAATAATTTCAAGTAATAAATAAGCTATTTTATTACAAACAAAATTTAAGAACAAAAAAACAAAAAGAACCTAACCTTTTCATCTGTTGCAATGCAAGTTTTATTTTTCAGAATAGTTTGAACTAAAACATTAGCCATCTCTTTGCTAGTTGTATCATCAAGGTGCTCCATAACATGAGGATAATTTGAAAGCTTTAATGCAGTATCAATATCCTTATACTTCTCCAGTGGAGCACTTAGAAGGGCCACAATCTGTTTTGTTGCTATACTGTCTTTGAGCTTTCCTTTAC